TCGCCTCCAGTATGTAAAAAATTAATTTTATTTTTTACAATAGTTTGTTTATTATTCTAAAAATTATTATTATTCTCACTAATAATTCTCACTAACTTAAAGTCTACCCAAAATGTCTACACAAAATATTCAAACCCAACTACCCTTAACGCCACTTCGTTCTTACTTTCTCAAATAGAAGCACGCAAGTCAAACCTTTTTTGAGCTTCTCAAATAGAAGCACGCAAGTCAAACCTTTTTTGAGCTTCTCAAATAGAAGCACGCAAGTCAAACCTTTTTTGAGCTTCTCAAATAGAAGCAAGTTATAGTTCTTATCACCCTTCTTAAAAAGAAGCAGTTTTCAAATAACTTATTTTATTAAATAGTTAATTAACTATATTAAATTCAGTGTCTGTGCATTTAATTACCTGTTATTTTTTTCATACAGAAGAAAAAGTTTTTGTGCCAACAATTCATAAAAGCCGGTCTGACAAATTATATACCTGTTGCCGCATATTTAATAAACTATAAACTTTGTTTTTCTATAAATTAATATAAACAGTTGTGCGTTTTAAGAATATTTATATGAACATTGATGTTTTATTATTATAAAAGGGTGATTTGTTGGCGATTTCTCTACTTTTATTTATTTCTGTAAATAATATAATAAAAATATTTCTAGCTTAACTCTTATTTTAATTATTCTATTTTAAATTCTAATATCTACTACATTATTACTAATCCGCAATTTTGCAACCTATGGGTCGCTGGTCCTTCGAGGTTTTATTTATTTTTTATCTACCAAATGTAGAAAGGTGAGATTATAATTTTTTAAATCTTCACTCTTAAATCATCGAACCAGCTACCTCATCCTTTCCCCTACAGTTTCACTTTTGGCTTTTATTTCAACACTGTTCATGGTAGTACGTAAAGACGTGGTCGTTACAAACTTTTGATTTATATAACGTAAAATAAAATATTTCTCTTTTTGTTATAATAATATTTATTGTTGCATAAATCATTTACAACTTTAATTTTATAATAATGTAAGTATTCTCTTAAAGCCTGACGTAACAAAGTGTTTGTGGAAATGCTATAGAACGCAGTTAAAGCTTCAAGTGGTCCATATAAACTACTTCTGCTATAAATGTTTTTCTATAATATTCATGAAAATTTAGGTTATTCAATAACGATACACGTGATGAGACACCAGATTGCTGTTTACTTCTAGCATTTGGTTGACATCACTTTTATACTACGCTATGTTTTTTAACAACGACAAATTTGGTTACATCATACACTATTTCTTTAATTTTACAATAGTCTTCACACTGAAACTCGGTAGGATTGTAAACAGGTGCTGTTAAAGAAATCACTAATCTTCTGCTTAAAAACTTAGATTATATCATTTCACTCGAACGTGTTTAAATTTATTCTTAGGCTGACACAAAATAATGTCTGATGAGAAATGCCAGGCTAAAGATAGACCAACTTCCACGTTTAAACATCCAACTGGAAATGCAGCTTCTAATAAATAGTATGGTTCATTTTTGGCAGCATCTTCAAATTTAGCTAGAACCCTATCTAATTCCGCATCATAATCATTTTCTGATGAATCATCAATCACTACCATATCACTTGATAAACGATAACATCTTGAGAGCTCATATTGATGAAATGACAGCAACAACTGAGAGTGAACTTGCAGACATTTTGCAATTTATACCTTTTAGTCCACCATTTCCCGCTCATTTAAACCTTAAATCCTTAAACTACGTCTGAACTATTAATCCAACTGATATGTTTGCTATCCAATCTTAACCATTTAACATACATCTTGTTGCCTTTTTGTCTAAGTTGCCTTAAAATCAAGTAAATGTTTGGATTTTCCGTTTTCTCTAACTATTCTTCGTAGAATGCTCCTCTGATAGGAGCTCCAGTCATAACTTCATTTAAGTACGATACAGAATTTGTTATTTTAATTTCAGTTATTTTAAACAATTCTGTTGTCCAATTCGGCTTATATCCCTTATCGAAGTCGTGTTTGTTTTTACTAATGCGAACCACATCGTCAACTTTCAATTTTCTGAGGCCAGCAATTTTTAAGTTTGTGTAATATTTTCGTAAAATTTCTTTTTCGTTAAATTTAGTATCGTCAACAGGTCTAAGTCGAATTTTGCTGTGTTTCGTGTTATTGTATTTTTTTGTAATTTGAGATATCTTTTTGTAAGATATCAGTCCATTTGTATGTACCATTAAGACTGAAATACTTGCAAATTTTTACCTTCAATGTACGAATAACCCGTTAACATATAGCTACTTTTTTAACATATTTTTATCAGGTTTTATAGTGATAGTAGATGTGACAGATTCGTTTTGGGGCGGAAGTGATCTGTCCCTCTAGACCAAGCCCCTGGTGACGTAGGAACGTCCCTCGTGTCTCAAAGCCACGCTCTCAGCCAATGGTGACGTAGGTACACCCCGGCCGACACCATAGGCCGAAGGGCGTGTCTCTCGGCCACGCCCTTCGGCCTATGGTGCCATAGGAACACCCCCAAGTAAACTCCTGACCAATGGTGATATAGAAACGTCCCACTCGTGATGTTAAAACATATCCTCGACCAATGGTGGCACAGAAACGCCCCATTTGTGACGTTAGAACACACCCTCGACCAATGGTGGCATAGGAACGTCCCCTCGTGACGTTAGAACACATTTTTGTGGTATAGGAACGTTCCCTAGTAACTTTAGAACATATCCTCGATCACTGGTGGCACAGAAATGCCCCACTCGCGACTTTAGAACATATCGTTAACCATGGTGACATAGAAATGCCCCTAAGTAAACGCCTGACCAATGGTGGTGTAGGAACGTTCCCTCGTGATGTTAGAACATATCCTTGACCAATGGTGATAAATAAACGCAACACGCGTGATGTCACCATATATATTTTATCCATATCGAATAGCGTAATAGTAAAAATTCGTTTATTTTTCAATTTATATTTTACGAGTAATTTGCATAATTAAACTTGGGAATCTTTATAAACTCCAACGTATACATTTACATCCCTGGGAACAATAATATAACGCGAGAGAATGTATGCAGTCACAGCCAGTGATTCAGCGGATGTGCATTTCCTTTTAACAGTTCTCACACGGTTGCCGGAAACACGTGCATTTCTTCTTCGACGTGTCGTAACTTGTTACTCATAGAATGATGCCACCGGACGTATAATTATATGTGCAAGGTTAATCGGCGACATTCAGTAAAGTACATGCATATTTATGTATACAGGGTGCAACGAAAAAGTTTGTGTACAACAAATAATATTTAATGGTAAAACATTATATCCAAAAAATTAGGCTAGAATAATACCATAGCAGTTGGAATTATCGAGAATATTATTTATATTGGGGTTTAAATGAAAGTCATTTATTTAACTGATGTCTCTCGTACAGTGCAGTATATAAGAGTTTTGCGAAAAAATACAAAAGTTAAAGGTGGATATACAGTGGTACGGAGATATAACGAAAATTGAAAAACGATTTGCAGAGTTTCATTTTCTGATAGAAAACTACCAAAACACAATACCCATTAAAAATAATTCAGCCGACAAGATGTCTCAACTAACAATATCATTCATCATTCTGGCAGCTATTGTTAATAATGTCCTTGATACAAACGTTCCAAACTATGTTAAGAACATGACGATATGTTTTAATGATGTAAAAACTGATTGTAATCGAACTGAATGGGCTCTAATGGATCATGAAGTGGTGAATTATGGGCAACTTTCAGTATTTTTCAAAGCTATACCAAAGTCAGGAGAAGCATTGTACAAGATCAGGCTAATATCCCCAAATAACACCGAAAGTGATTCAAAATAATTAAAACTAATAATGGTGTCATGGCTCAATATGGTTCATCAATTATACTGTGAACAATCATATTAGTAATGAATGTATTTTTGACGAGTAATATCATTATAATTTTTTTTGTAAATCGTAAATGCGATTCATCTTGCATTACAATAAATATGTAAAAAAAAGGAAACTGTTAAAATAAAACTAAAACAAAACTTTTAATCTTTTATTTACAAAAACCAATTTACATAGGTAATATCTTTTTACAAAATTATTGGCGAAGGCAATCCACATTTATCGAAGAGCAGGAAAATAATCCAGTGATAAGCATTTGAATCTTCAACAAATTTTCCTGTTGCACACGGTGTACCGTCATACTTGCAAACATCGATAATTATGGGAAATACGCAGGAGGAATTGTTGATATCTGTGAAACAGTTGGGGTATTTTTCATTTAAAGACAATGTTGACGTAATAAGTCCTGGTGAAGCTAAACTAAATTCCAATTTTATATTTGTTGACCTCAAATGAATTCAGGATAAACGCCACTAATAGCTCATCTCATTGTGCCTCAATGTCGACATGTTTGCCAGAAAACAAACCAGAACTTGAACAACAAACAGAAGCCACTGAACAAACTCGTCAGCAAGATATGTTACAGGTAAGACGTTAATTAAAAATAAGAAGCGTCAGCGATCAGGAGATAGCCCTCCGCATAGAATTAAAAAGCAAACTATCATTCAGGATTATTGGTTACAGAAACCTACGCCAATGACCAATAGATATAGCCCTTTAACTACTAATGATATACAAGAAGAAAATAGAAATGCCGATTCCAAAAAACCTCCACCAATATTTATTCAGAATGTCGAATATATAAAACCGCTACGCGAATTGCTTGATGAAAAAATACCAAATCTATATACCATTAAATGCCTTAGGGATAACCAAATTAAACTCCAAGTAGATTCACCTGAAAACTGTTCGGATATTAATAAAAGCTTAACAGCAAAAAAAACGCAGTTTCACACATATTAAATAAAACAGGACCGTGGACTTCGAGTGGTTATTCGCAATATTCACCCCTCAACAGAAACTAATGAGATTAAAAGGGCACTCAAAGAACTAGGACATTCAGTCAAAAATATCTCCAACATGAAACGAATAAAGGATAAAAAGCAACAACCACTTTTCCACGTAGAATTGGTTGCTAATGCAAACAATAAAGGCATTTATAAAGTCAATAAACTACTTAACTTAATAGTTGAAGTTGAACCACCACATCCCAAAAGAGAAATTCCGCAATGCCACAGGTGTCAACATTTCGGACACACTCACAAATATTGCAAATGCGTAAAATGTACAGCCAATCACTTGTCATCCGAATGTCCAAATCCAACATAAATTAAAGATGTGAAGTGTACAAATTGCCAAGAAAATCATCCTGCATCCTACAGAGGCTGTTTGGTCTACAAAGAGCTCCAAAGAAAACAATTTCCAAAATTGAGGGAGAAAATACAATCTCATTGCCCGCCAAGTTCCTCAAATACTCGTCGCCCATCTGTAACATATGCAAACGCTGTGGAGGGACCAAATCATACTACCGCATCTGTCGCAAAAACTACACAGGAAAAACTGAATACAACAGAAACAAGTAACAGTTTAGAATTGATGGTCCAAAAACTTATGGATAGAATGGATAAAATGTTCGACCTTCTCATAACGATGTTATCAAAACTTAATTTTCAACCCCAAAATTAAAATTGGATATTGGAACGCAAACGGCCTCACAAACCATAGTGAGGAGATTAAGGCATTTATAAAGTTACATAATCTTGATATCATGATGGTCTCTGAAGCTCATATGACAAACAAGAGCCATTGTAGTATGCCAGATTTTTGCACCTATGTCAAACCACACCCAATGGGAAAAGTTCATGGTGGAACTGCGTTAATCATTAGAAGTAATATAAAACATCACGAAATAAATAAAGTGTGTGAAATCAACATTCAGGCAACCTCTATATCTGTAGAACTCTGTAAAGGGCACATAACGATGACATTTCTCTAGTTATTTCAAAAGGCTTTATTGCAGTAGGTGATTTTAACGCAAAACATACAAGATGGGGTTCTAGACTGATAACAACTCGCGGAAGAGAACTTACTAAAAGTTTAAACGAAAATAACTTGACTCCAATTTCTACTGGGCAGCCAACCTACAGGCCTACAGATAGAAATAAAATACCCGATCTCATCGATTTTGCTATCATAAAAGGAATAAGTAACAACATTAAACCTTTTGACCTTTCGTCGGACCATTCTCCCATATTTATTGATATGATGGAACATGTATATAATACAAATAAATACCCCACGTTTTCAAATCATAAAACAAATTGGAGTCTGTTCAGATTTAATATTCAAAATACAATTAACTTAAATCTTCCTCTTAAAATAAGTGAAAATATTGAGGAAGCAGTTCATCACCATACATCAATCATTCAACAGGCAGTTTGGAGAGCAACTCCAGATCTAAACCGGAGTAATAACTGTGAACCATATCCACATCATATAAAAAACTTAATCAACGAAAAGAGAAAACTAAGAAAACAGTGGCAAACTTCCAGATCTCCTGAGAACAAAACTGAACTGAATAGGGCTACTCGTTTGCTTAAAAGAGAATTACACAAATACAAAGATCAGGGCATAAATGAATTTCTTAAAAGTCTTACTGCGACGGATGACACAAACTACTCTATTTGGAAACTCTCTAAGAAACTTAAACATCAGATTAAGCATGACGGTCTCATTAGTAATAAAGACGGTAATTGGGCCAAGGCCGATGAAGATAAAGTACAAGCATTCGCTAATCATCTCAGCCAAGTTTTTCAACCACACTCCAGAACTATCTCAAAGGAAGAAGAAGAATTAATTCACAAGAACTTAGATGCACCCTACTAAATGTCACCTCCTATAGAAAATATCAAAATTAACGAAATAAAAGAGTTAGTTAAACATCTCAATACTAAAAAAGCTCCAGGGTATGATTTAATATCGGGAAAAATCTGCAAAAATTTACCCGAAGAAGGATTTTGGTTGGTTATGTACATATTTAACGCTATACTAAAGTTATGCTATTTTCCGTTTCAATGGAAAATGGCACAAACTATTCTAATACTGAAACCAAATAAATATCCACAAGAACTATCATCCTATCGTCCAATCAGTTTGCTTCCCATTATCTCTAAGATATTTGAGAGGATACTCCTTCAGAAAATGAATTCTATAATCGACAGACAAAAGTTAATACCTAATTATCAGTTTGGATTCAGGCAACAATATGGAACAATTGAGCAGGTACATAGAGTTGCCAAAGTAGCAAGAGATGCGATTGAAAAGAAAGAATACTGCACTGCAGCCTTTTTGGATGTCTCACAAGCATTTGATAAAGTATGGCATGAGGGGCTGCTATCTGAAATAAAAACTCACTTTCCTCATCCTCTGTATGCTCTTCTGAGATCCTATCTTACCAATCGATATTTCCAGGTCAGATGCAATGAAGCAGTATCAAACATATCTCCAATTCTAGCGGGAGTACCTCAGGGTAGTATATTGGGACCAACTTTATACTTACTCCATACGGCAGATATTCCCACAAGAGTAAACAGCACAATCGCTACCTATGCAGATGATACTGTGATAATGGCTTCTAGCTCGGTTCCTGTTACAGCATGTAAAAATTTACAAATTCATTTAAATAAACTAGAGAAATGGTTAAAACTGTGCCGAATTAAAGTAAATGGCAGCAAATCAGCACATATAACATTTACTTTACGCAAAGAGAGTGTACCATCTGTGTGCATAAAAAATACCATAATACCCAAAAAAAGTGATGTTAAATACTTGGGAATACATTTTGACAGCCGACTAAATTGGGGAAAGCACATCTGGACAAAGCGACTGCAACTAGGATTAATATACAGGAAAATGTATTGGTTCATGAATAAAAAATCCAAACTAATTCTACATAATAAATTATTACTGTATAAATGTGTTCTAAAGCCAGTTTGGGCCTACGGTATACAGATATAGGGTACAGCATCTAATTCTCACTTACTGAAACTTCAACGTTTCCAATCTAAACTTTTGAGACATATTACCAATGCACCGTGGTACGTGCCCAATTATGTTATACACCGAGATCTTCAGATCCAAAATATTAAAGACACCGTTGTCTCACTCAGTGGAACTTACAAAAATAGACTACTAAACCATCCAAATACACTTGCCCAAGACCTACTTAAGCGACCAAGGAGAGGAAGACTAAAACGACGTGATCCTCTAGACCTCTCCATACATTTATATACATAAACGTATATATTATTTTATAAGCTGCAACTGATACTACATATACCTACAACTTATAATTGTGTGTGTGTTGTTATAATTTTACCTACTGCTATTTTTTTAATGTTAGTAAAATGTCTTTGTAAATTGTTATTTATATTTCAAATATTTATATATATTAGAAATTTATCTTAAGGATTTCTGTCACTGGACTGATCTCCCCTATGTTAATTACTTGATAAACATATTGATTATTGTTTTTTTTATTTGTAGAAACAGATTTCAATAAATAAAGGATGTAAAAAAAATATTTGATGACGTATCAAATGATCTTAATACTGTACAAGAGGAGATAAATATTATTGAAGAAAATGAAAAATTAATTTTACGTAATTTTGTCGAGGGGCTTGAATTTTCGAATTACTATTGTAATGCATTAAAAACTGGTGTTTCATTGAATAACGATGTGAGGCGAAGTGTATTATAAATTTAACATTAAGGGAGTCTTTGTATTATTTTAGAGAATATGTAATAAGAGATTTAAATAGCATCATTTTAATGAAGATGTAATTAGAGATTCAAATCAACATATGTTTTTTTAATAAAGATATTTTACTAGTCAGCCAACATGTGTTTTGTTATTTTCATGAATAAAACACATTTTAATTTAATTTAATTTTTATTTAGATATAAACATGTAATTACAGCACTTATTTTACAAGATTCTGTTGAATACATAGGTTTTCAGTTAACTGTAAAAATTGTAAAAGTTGGTTATGTTTTCATTTATTGATTTATTTATTGTTTTACTCAATCATTGTGGTTTCATAATGACCCCAAGGTAACGTGTCATCAGAATTTTGTTGCAAGTAACGTTTATCATGGTACGGACTTAATGCAATTTTTTCTTGTGTTATTGTAAAGAGATCATGGGAGTAGGAACGAAACGTTGATTGGGATACGCTTTTAGTTGTAAATTCGTTTAAATACTTAGCATAATCATCGAAACTAATGTTATCTTTTACCGTTGAATATTTAACCCCCTTAAATTTTTTTGTGACACCTATATTATTTACAATTGTTTCAATATTTGCATCATCCATATTATTCTTGTATTTACCCGAAAATACCTTTCGATCCTTATCCCTCGTACTGATCTTTAATGAATACACTTTAGATCTAAGTCCAACTAAGACATGAGTCATAATGCGACCGTTTGTCTCATCTTTCATCATTCCGAGAACTTTTTTGTTGACTTGAGGTATTACATAAATATTATTCTCAGAATAGCCTGATGTGTGGAATTTAGATAAATTCCCTTTAATAATATCTCTGTAAACGTCATCACATTTTATTTCATAGATAAAACTGTCAGTGTCCCCATACATCAGCTTACAATTTTCAACGCCCAGATGTGGCAACATAAAGTTATAATAAAAATCGTACATACATACTTTGGATATCTCTAAAATAAGCATGCTGATGTACAATGGTTTGTTTAAAATAAGATCTGTTTTGTTAAGTTCGATTGTCATTAGATTTTCATCAAACACGGTTCTATTATGAAATCGTGGACTAGCAATCAAATTTTTTGCCCCATATCTTCCATCCCATTTTGATACTAGCTTTACGATGCGATGTTTCCTAATGTTTTTTATCGTTTTGCCAAAGATGGCGTTGTTGGCTAACTTTTACTAGTATTTTTTAAATGCTGTAGTTGCTGCGGTTCGCAATCTGGTGTTAAGATTGATGTACGGCTTAAGCCAAGCACTCTGTTTAAATTTCAGGATCCGGTGAATAATTTTTAGTATTATTACTGCATTCAAAACTTGTTTTAGATTGCGATAGTCAAAGTGTACTCTTTTTTGTGGTATAGGGTGTTCATAAGATTCGAAAGCTTACTTCTTGTTGAAACACGATGTAAGTTATGCAAGTGTTCTGGATATTCCAAATCCACTTGTAGTATGTACCCCATATCCGCGTCGTTAGGAATCCTAAGAACATAAATATTGGGATCCACCCACTCGAAACCCTATAATAAGAATTGAGACATTGCC